GGCCAGTCGGTCCCAGCAAGGTCACCCTTGTGCGATCTGAGAGCAGCCATTCCCTCTCCTCTCTCTGGTCCTTCATTTCTTCCTCAGCACCAAAGGGTCTTTACATATCTCTGTAGAAGAAAACACCCGGGAGCCTTTGATCAGGTTTATGTCAGGGTGACCATTGAATCACACAGGCCCTGAGGCACGGTTGTATTGAACCAACTGTAAGGGCTGCTTCATGCAGGACCTGGCCCCGGGCCTAGAGAAGAGAGCACAAGGTCTTCCTCACTGGAGAGTGTCCAGGTATGTGTGCCCTGGCATGCCCCAGCTAGGGAGAGGAAACGCTCTATACCCTTGTAGCTTGTTTATGTGACTCCCCGCTTCCCCGCCTCCAGCCCCACACACCCCATCCACCCCTTTGCTACCAAGAGTCAGGTGAGTTCCTGACTTTTCTGCAACCTTGAATCCCCACTGTTGGCATAGGCTAGACACGGCACCCAGTATGTGCGCAGCTCCTTCTTGTCGCGGGGCTGGATAATGGCAGGTTGTGTAAAGCAGTGTTAAAAGAACTAGGAGGAGCCGAGAGGGCACTCCTGCAGATGAACCAAATCATCAAGGCTGGAGCCTGTTTGGGCACAATGGCAGTGTCCAGGTGTGGAGGACACGTGGCTGCCATGGGTGTGTGTGTGTGCACTTTATAAAGGCACACCGGAGAGATGAGGAAGGTTGATGAGATGCAAGTATGAAAGGAAGGAAGAAAGCAGCGTGAGGTCAGGGCTGGGCCTAGTGGGGCAGACGTGAGATCAGATCAGGACTACAGCTGAGATCGGTTCTTGGCAAGTTACGGGGGCGGGAGCGCGGAGAACAGGGAAGAACACAGAGTCCCCGACCCCAGTGTGTTCCACCCCACACAGAGGTCACAGGAAGGAGAACTTCAGAGGGGGAGGCTCCCGCACTCTCTGGCCCATTCCATGTCCCCCTTGAGAACCAAGGAGCCCCAGGTTCTGAAGCTGAACGGACTCTCAGTCAGGCTTAGAGAATGGATGACAGACAGCTCAGAAGAGGAGCTGTGGGAAGGGGGATGATAAAACATGTTCCGGGTGGGAAGCAGAAGAGACTAGAGAATGACAGAAAGATGGAAGAAAATATAATGGCATATTTCCAAGTCACACTGACAGTTTTCCAAATGGAACAACACTGTTGTGGGAAGGAGCGGGACCCCACCCCTGTCCCCTGACATCAGACTGCTCTGCGAGAGCCGCGGTTCTCGACCTTCCTGATGCCGTGACCCATTCATACAGTTCCTCATGTGGTGGTGAACCCCAAACCATAAAACTATTTTCGCCCCTTGCAGAGGGGTCTCAGGGAGGAGATGAGCCAGTCAGGGTGCGATATAACAACGATGAGAAATACAACTTTCCTCTAGTTCCTAAATGTTTCCTCCCCACTCCCACTACCATGACTCGAATTCGACCTTGCAAGTCTGGCTAGACCAGAGGATGTACACTGGTACAGATAGGAACTGAAAATACAGGGAATCCAGGGCGGATGAGCCCTACAGGACCAGTGGTGTGAGTGGCAAAACAGGGAGGGTAAAGGGAGAGTGGGTAGGAAAGAGGGAACCGATTACAAGGAACTATATGTGACCTCCTCCCTGGGGGACAGACAACTGAAAAGTGGGTGAAGGGAGATGTCGGGCAGGGCAAGATATGACAAAATACCAATTTATAAACTATCAAGGACACATGAGGGAGGGGAGAGCGGGGAGGAAGGGGAAAAATGAGGACCTAATGTCGGGGGTTTAAGTGGAGAGAAAATGTTTTGAGAATGATGTACAAATGCGTTTTACACAATTGATGTGTGTATGGATTGCGATAACAGTTGTATGAGCCCCTAATAAAATGTTTAAAAAAAAAACCCTATTTTCGTTGCTACTTCATAACTGTCATTTTGCTACTGTTATGAATCATAATGTAAATATCTGATCTGCAGGATGTATTTTCATTGTTACAAATTAAACATACTTAGAGCATAGTGATCAGGCACAAAACAATATGTAATTATATATTGTGAAATAATGTGTTTTCCGATGGTCTTAGGCGACCCCTGTGAAAGGGTCGTTCGACCCCCAAAGGGGTTAAGACCCACAGATTCAGAACCGCTATGTTAGAGTAATCAGCAGTTTCCAAAAGCCCCTCCTGCCCCAGCTGTTATAAGGGTCTGCTGTGCTCCTGAACTGATCCACGGAGAGGTCCGGTCCACTGGGCGCCAAACACGTTCGTCTGGGGATGGGGCGCAGAGAGAGAAGTTCCTCACTCTTGCCTTCTGTGCTCAGCATCAGAGCTTAGAAGCCTTGGTGCCGCCAAGCACAGCCCTGCTGGTGCAGGAGTCTCGAGGCCTGGCTTTGGATGTGATTTGGAAAGAGGGGCTGTTGTCTTAGGTGTCCCTCACCCCCTTCTTCGTGTCCCTGCCTCACCTCCTCATGGCCCTCTCCCTGGCCTGCTCCACAGGCTGGCCAAGGTGCTGCTGCCGCTGCTGCCATCCGGATGCCTCTGAACCCAGCCTAGCCTTCCTGCTGCATGTTTGCCTCCCGACTATTTCCCCATCCTTTCCCTGCTCTTTCCTCACCACCTCGGGAACAGGCTTGCTCCTCAGGAAGCCGGGCTCAGTCAAGAGGGAGGAGAGCAGATTTCATTGAATGAATTTGCCCTTAAGTTGTGAATGACTATTACCTCTTCCTCCCCTATTTCAATCATAGGAGGACACGCCTGCATTAGTTCCCCAAGGCTGCCATAGCAACGTATTAGTTTCCTAAGGCTGCCGTAGCAATGTATCTTGGCTTAACACAAGAGCTTGATTTTCTCACATTTCTGGCTGCTAGACATCCAAAATCAAGGTATCAGCAGAACCCTGTTTCCTCGGAAGCCTCTGGTGATGACATAACTCCAGTCTCCGCCTCTGTCCTTACATGGCCACCTTCCTTCTGTGTCTGTGTCTCTGGGGTCAGATCCCACTTTTTTGACAGACGTCAGTCATATGGAACTTAGAGCCTCCCTAATCCAGTGTCAGGAGCCCCGGTGGCCTAGTGGGTTATGCACTGGGCCAGCGGTTCTCAACCTGTGGGTGCGACCCCTTTGGGGGGGGGGTCAAACGATCCTTGCACAGGGGTCCCCCGATTCATCACAGTAGCAAAATGACAGTGGTGAAGTAACAACGAAAATAGTTTTATGGTTGGGGCGGGGGGTGTCACTGCAACCTGAGGAGCTGTACGAAAGGTCACGGCATGAGGACAGTTGGGAACCGCTGCACTGGGCTGTGAACCTCAAGGTCAGTCCTTTGAAACCACCAGCAGCTCCCTGTCAAAGAGTTACAGTCTTGGAAACTGACAGGGGCAGTTCTACCCTGTCCAATAGGGTTGCCAAGAGTCAGAATCGACCAATGGCACTGCTTTGGGTTGCATTTGAATCCAGTGTGACCTCATCTTAACGGATTACATCTTGAAAGACTCTAGTTCCAAATAAGGTCATGTTTTCAGGTTTCAGGTGGACATCAATTTGGTGGCGTGGGGAAGTGCTCACTACTTGATTGGAGCCCTGGTGGCATCGTGGGTTCCGCATTGGCCTACTGAATGCAAGGCTGGCAGTTCACAACCACGGGCTGCTCCTTGAGAGAAAGCTGACGCTTTCTACTTCCATAAAGTGTAACACCCTCAGAAAACCACAGGGGAAAGTCCTACCTTTGTCCTATAGGATCACTTTGAGCCAGAATCCACTTCACGACACCGACGTTGGTGTTTTGGTCACTAGTCAAACCAGCACATGCCCTAAACTGTAGTTGAGTGCCTGAGCACCGGGCACCATGCTTGAGACGTCTAGACACCTCACTCCAGTTAGCCCGCCCAGTGACGTGACCTTTTGGGGCAGGTGTCGTCTCTCCCCATTTCCAAATGGGGAAACCAAAATCCTGAGTTTCCTCACCTTCCCCAAGGCTACACAGAGTGTAAGTGGGAACGTTGGGACAAAAGTCACCATCTTCTAAAACCGCCTCTTGCCTCCCCTTTTCCCTTAACACAGGTAATGCTGGCTTTAGATGACAGGAGAATGAACGACCCACAGGAGCACGTCACATGAGCTATGTTGCAGAACATACACCGTGTGCAGGCGAAATACGAGACTGTCTGCTCCCCTAAAGACGCACATCTCCAAAACTCGCAGGAGCTCTGACCTCAATACAGGGTCCCGGCGTGACACAATGGCAGTGGTCCACCTCCCTTAGCCACCCACTTTGTTTCTCAAACTCAGTGCCCTGGAGTCGAGTCTGTGGCACAAGGTGGAACTGCTCCTGTCGGTTGCCCAGGATTCTGCGCATCTTTACTGGAGTAGAAAGCCCCGTGTTTCTCCCTGGGAGCGGCTGGTGGTTTCAAACTGCTGACCTTGCGGTTAGCAGCCCGTTTCCTAACCCATCTCCCCGCCAGGCTCCTCGGAGGCAAAGCCGGGTCGATGCCCCAGAGGCTGAACTGAACTGATGGTCAAGAGCTTCGAGGAGGGCATTGGTCACTAGGGAAGGAGTCAGTTCCTTTGCCTGCTCGGCCGCACTGAGTGCTTGCTTGGAGGAAAACCCAGAAAACAAACACCCACCAAACTCACAGTGACCCCCCAGGACGAGGTAGAACTGCTCCTGTGGGTTTCCGAGAATGCAGCTCTTTATGGGAGCTGCTTCTTTCTCTTGGACAACCTAGTGGTTTCGAACTCCTGACCTTGACATTAGCAGCCCAACCCATCACCACGACGCCCCCAGGGAGCAGCGAGCAACGAGACGCGCCGACCTCCGGTCTTCCTAGAGAGGAACCGGAAGCGGATGCCTTTCCTCACAACCCTTCTGACAGCGCCGTAGGACCGTTTCCGGTTCGCGGAGGGCACTGCCGTCCGCGCTGCCGCTCGCTGGCCGCTGGTGAGCGCTGGGTCCGGGCAGCCGCGAGGGACGGAGGTGGCGAGGGCGACGGGGCCGAGCTGCGAGGCTTCTGCGGGCGGCGAGGGCCGCGCCGCCGTGGGCTCAGGTAGGGCGGTGCGTACTCCCCCGGCCCGCGCGGGCTTCCCTGGGAGCCTGGGCACTGCGGCCCCGCGGCGGCACTCGCGGGAAGGCGACAGTGGTCTTTTTAGAGCCAGCCTGGGCAGCAGCTTCTGTTTGCCAAGTGCCAGCGATGTAAAGCTGGATGAAGACCCTACGTGCCCGCGGGGAGTCTGGTCGCCGGAACGCGCCTTGGAACGTTTCACTGCAGTGCGCGCAGTGCGGTCGGCGGGCTAGCTGAGCGACAAAGGCCCGTGCGAAACCTCAAGTTGCTGCAGCGGAGCAAACGATTAGACCGAACGTGTACAATAGGCTTAAAAGGGGTTGATAAATAAACACACAGCGCCCAATAGAAGATTGAACAGGCTTGGGCTGGGTGCCTCCCGCATTCGTTCTGCGCACCTTCGGCCCGGGTGATGGCTCTCGTCTATTTCCGATCCCCAAACTGCCCCCTCAGTCCACCTCCTCCTCCCTCCAGCGAAGGCAGAGTGTATCGGGCCCCTAGCCCAAGGCAGGCTTTTTCTCTTGAGGACTCTCTTTTGATCCGCCGTGCCTCTGATCTACACGTTTTATTTTGAGAGGCAGACATTGGCCAGTCAGTCCGGACCCTTTTCCACCTTCCCTGTCATTTCTGTTGGTTTGACAGTTTTACTGGCATCTCGTCCACACAGCGTACAATTCAACTGTTCAGCCACAGCGCCATCCCCACAATCCGTTTTAGAACATTCTCTTCATTCTTGGGCTCATCATTACTAGCTTTCTATTTCAACCCCCCCCCTTCCCTACCATCCCCCCACTCCCCACCCCAGAGAACCGTGCACCCAGTGACTGTCTCTGTAGATTTACCCATCCTGGAATAAATACATAGAAAAAATACATACATGTTAAAAAATAAACAGTAATTTCTTTATTTGAACATCCTTCAATTTTGATTTGCTTTGGACTCACCAGAGTTGATGAGAGTATGCTCACAAGCTTTCTGAAGGGAAACATTTGGAAAGCCTGTGAAGTTCTAGGTCTTTTTGTCTAGTATAGTAAGGTTGTAATTACCAGGTGATGTTATATATATTGCTCTATGGTTTTTAAAGGAAAAAATTTAATCGTACTGTATATACTCATGTATAAGCCGAGTTTTTCAGCACATTTTTCATGCAGTTTATGTAAAATTAGGTGCTTCGGCTGATAATCGGGTTGGCTTATACTTGAGTATGTACACTATTTCTATTACTCCTTTACTTGTTTTAACAGTTTTATTGGCACTTCTTACGTGTATCATACAATTCGATAGTTCAGTCATATCAAAAAGAGTTGTACAATCTTTCCCACCATCCATTTTCGAACATTTTCTTCTTCCGTGTACTCACTGTTACTCGTGCAATTTTATTTCTCAGTTTTGGCAAAAATATACAAAACAAAATATTCTCCCAGTCCAACAACTTCTACATGTATAATCCAGTGCCATTGATTATATACTCTTCATCTTGTACAACCACTATTAATACCCCTCTTCAAATTGTTCCACCACCATTAAAATAAACCCAAGGCCCCCTAAGCAAACATTCTTTCTCCTTCCCCTGTGGTCAGCAGCTCTGTGGTTTTCTTGAGATCTGTTGCTTCCACTTGTTGAATACGCCTGGACTCTCTGCTTCGAAGTCCCTCTCATGCCCTGCTGCACTCACTCACTGCCTTCAAGTCAATTCTGATTCATAGCGACCCTGCAGGACAGGACGGGGCAGAACCGCCTCTGTGGGTTTCCGAGACTAACCCTTCACAGGAGTAGAAAGTCTCGTGTTTCTCCCACGGAGCGGCTGGTGACTTGCTGACTCTGTGGTAGCAGCTCCACTCGTGACCCGCTACACCCCCGGGCTCCTGCTCAGACCGCTGTGAATGCTGCTGCTCTGCCTGCCTCCTCCGATCTATTACTTGTCCACGCAGAATGACCTGTGTGAAACCATAGCATCCCAGCGAAATACGAAGGAATAGTCCATCCCGGGACAGTCTGGTTGCTGTCTGCTTCTCCTCTTCCTCTCTGGAGACTCTGTCCTGATGGTTTTTCCTGGAATGCTCTTGGAATGGCTCTCGAATTCTCATTCCTCTGCCCTCGGTGTCATCTGTTTGGGGAAGCCTTCCTGAGGTCTGTCTTCCCCTCTAGGAGCACACCCTGCTGCTTCCTTTCTAGAAACAGCCCCTCTATAGTTTTGTTTGTCTGCATACATTTGTTTGTTTCTGTCGGTGACATTACAGCGTTTGTTTCAAGAGAGCATGCTTGCCCCTTGCCTGCCCTCTTTCGTCCTGTGAAGCGGCTTCAGAAAGTTCGTGGACAACCAGAATGAAAAGATAATGGCATTTTCCCATTGGTGTTTCGAAGCCCCTTCATAATACTTCTCGTTTCTATTTCCTTTCATTTTAGAACTGGGCCTTGGTGACGAACCTAATTATAAGGCATCTTCCATGATTCTCTAATCATTGGGTTGCCTCTTCAATGCGACCCTCAAACTATTTGTGAGTATAGGCTAAATCCTAGACACTTACTTCATCTTTCACCAAAGAGGTGCCTAGCAGTGCCCACTGGTGTGAATTATTGGATGGGTGTTCAGTTCTTAGTGACTCGCCGAAGGCACTTGCCACCTTCTCCAGCAGAATATGCACCGATGTCGAGACGGAGCTGGGGAGAGGGCCCTTGCGTGGGTCTCGAGTTCTCAGCAGGGTCAGTTGGGCTGCTCTCATTGTCCTGTTCTCCCCGCAGAGCCTCATCTTCTGGGAGGGAGTGTGAAGATGCTCAAAGAGCGGCCCGGGATGGCGGAAGAACCTCAGCAGCACGTGAGCAGTGCTCCCGTGGTGAAGCTGGAGAAAGAGCTGCCGTGGGGAAAGGGAAGGGAGGACTTGAGCCCCGAGACTTTCCGGCTGAAGTTTCGGCAGTTTCGCTACCAGGAGGCTGCTGGCCCCCAGGAAGCCCTCCGGGAGCTCCAGGAACTGTGCCGCCAGTGGCTGAGGCCCGAGCTGCACACCAAGGAGCAGATTCTGGAGCTGCTGGTGCTGGAACAGTTCCTGACCATCCTGCCCCCAGAGTTCTACGCCTGGATACGGGAGCACTGCCCCGAGAGCAGCAAGGCCTTGGTGGCCATGATGGAAGACATGACGGAGAGAGCACTGGAGGCCAAGGCGGTGGGTGAGAAGGGGGTATCAGGCTTTTGTCTTGATGGTGTGGGACGGGGAGTGTTCAAGAATCGCAAGCTTTGATGAGGCCCTGGGAGTCGAAGAGGCATAGCGTCTTTCTCCTCTGCTCTGAGGAACATTATCAGAGCTTGGTAGAGATTTCCACCCAGAGAACCACGCCCAAGGAAGATGCCAGGGGCGGGGAAGATGCAAGGCTCTGGTTAGCCAGAGCCCCAGTCCCAGGAAGGCTGGCTTGATTGCTTTCAAAGTCCTTCAGCAACTCCTTCCTCTTTGGGAAGAGATACACACGATCAGGATCAGGATCAGTGTCTCACTGGAGACGTCCCTGCTCTGTCCAGTGCTGGGAGGTCTGCTCCATCGGATGATGGTGTTCTGCTAACACCACGTCGCCGCTTGGCCCACAGACATGTCCGAGTTGCTCACGGTCCTCTACTGGCTGAGACAAGAGCGGGGGAAATGTTAATGCATGGCTTGCAAGAAACAGCCATTTTTAGTTTAGCCCCACCTTTTCCATGGCAGTACCTCAACTTCCTACCCGAGCCTGAGGGAACTGGCCAAAATTCCCATCTCGGGAGCTTCAAAGCAGACCGGAAAGGTTTGTGCTTCCGTGTGTCAGCCCCTCCTGATGTCCTGGCTGTTTGTAGAGCACTTTTTCTTCAGGAGGGATATCCCGTGAGAAAGTCTGGCTTTGTGCCTTTCACTGTCAGCTTCTGTAACTGGGTTTGTTTTTGCCCCTCAGTAGTCCTGAATTTTGCTGAAGTTCTAAACATTGCTCCGAAGTTCTCCTTCACAAGCTGTTTGGGCTGTCGGTGATATTCTGGAACCCCGGTGGCGTAGTGGTTACACGTCGGGCTGCTAATTGCAGTGTCAGCAGTTTGAGACCACCAGCCTCTCCAAGGGAGAAAGACGAGGTTTTCAGCTGCCCTAGAGAGTGACAGTCTGGAAAGCACAGGGCAGCTCCACCCTGTGCGATAGGGTGACTTATGAGCCGGAATTGACACTGGGGCAGTGGGTTTGGGTTGGGGGGTGATAGTACTCATGGAATTTAACCAGAATCCAGAGGGACAGAAGGGACCCTCATAAAAGGGTACAGGCAGATAAAAGCTGTGTGTAGCTTGATAAGGAGAGCTTAGCTTCTTAGATACCTCCTCACGGATGTCCAGGGGGAGGGCTGAACCAATTGCCTTCTTCTCCCCTGCAGCTGGAGTGGTGATTTTCTTGGCTCTCTCCTTAGGTTATAATTCAACATCCTTCATCCAGGCTTCCCCAGGCCTCATTCTAATAGGTGTTGGGAACTGTCTTTAGGTTCCATGCCATGTGCAGGGAGAGCAGGAGGAGACAGCCCTTTGCAGAAGCCCTTGGGAACCAAGTGTCCACCTGGGGCCAGTGGAGGTCAAGCCTGAGTGGGGACTGCCCCCTAGGGAAGGAGTTCCCGGCCTCCATCAAAGCACCGAGGAGCAGCTCACTCGGGACCCTAGAGACGGGCCACAGGCTTTCCAGGAGCAGGGTAAGTTGCACAACAGTCGAGGAGTTGGGCACAGGAGAGCATGCCAGCCCCCTCCCCCACTCACATTAGAAACCCAGCAATTGATCCATAGTTTGGAAGTTACAGTTCTGAGCTTTTCTGGCGATTTTCTCAGCCTCAGTAGGAAACGGGGTGTGTGGGGGTTCTCTCTCCCATGACTCCGATTCCTGGCGGGGCTGTTTGAGAGTGTGCTCTCTTCTCTTCACCCTGCCCCTTGGCCCGTGGAGAAACCCGCAGGAAATATGCAGCTGATCCATGAAAGGCTTTGTGGTTGTGGTTGTAAGTAAGCACGTGAGCCGTCTGTCTCAGAGTAAACTGACGTTGTTACTGAATCTCAGAGGGGTTCTTCGCAGAAGATGATGTGGGGAAGCACAGCCTGGAAGGGCCAGCACCTAATGGCTTGGGCCCGTCTCCCATCTGAGGAGAAGGTGGGTAGGCCTGGATCCCGTGTAGTGGAAAGTGTGAAACCCACACGATTGTCCTCAGGGGCCTCCCCTCCCTGTGGTTCCGAGAGTCTGTGTGTCAGGCAGCAGGCACTGTTGAAACCACACTCATCCGTCCCATTCGTTTTTCTCCCACTCAGCTCTGCCTCTTCTTCAGGCTGGTCCCGGCCTCCCCTCGGTGAACCCCCGAGACCCCGGGATGGCAGCTGGGTTTCTCACCGCCGGCTCCCAGGTATGCTGTCGCTGTGACCCTGCTCCTCCGGAGCTCATCAGGCGGCTTTGCATGAAATTCCTCGTCCCCGAGTCTCTCAACAGAGCTCCCCGCACATTGTTTCGCTGCCTTCTAGCCTGACAGCCACGGCAGCTTCATCCTCTCCTCTTCCCAGTGAGCGCTCTAGCTGGCCCGGACGCCACTCTTCCAGTCACGGATGTCGCTCTGACAATTGTAAGGAGGAAGGTGTTGGTCCAGGTCCCGTGGCCATGATCTAGGCCATACTTTCCTCAACTTACTTGGCCTACTGCCCCTCTTCAGGGAAAAAAAAAAAAAAAGAGCACCCCCCAGTAGCAATGAAAGGCTCATGCACTCTGGTTTAAGTGTAGAAATCTGCTTTTGCAGCTCCCCCTGGATCGTTCTAGCACCCCGTCCCAGTGGTGGTGGTACCGCCCACTTTGGGAACCACTGATCTAGGCGTGGTGGTTGTCCAGGAGATAAGGAACCCTTTGTGAATGCCCTTTATAGATGCTCCTGCTGCTGCTCTGGGCCCCCTCCCTCCCCAGTGTCAGGAGAGAGGGAGCTGACCCAGGGCTGGAGGTGCCCAGGCAGCCTGCGCACAGCCTACGCTCCAGCCTGTCCTCCGGCCACACTAGGAGTTTTGTGGACCTGCCCAAAGGGAAACAGCTGGAGCATGGACAGGGCACTCATGCCAGTTGAAATCTCTTGCATGAGGTGCTGACCATGTTACTGGGGGAGAGAGGTTCTTTTGGGGATAATCTAAGAGTTGGTGCCCATGGATTACCAACTAATGCCCATTCTGAAAGAGACGGATCTTGAAAGAATCCCTTGACGGAGAAAAAGTGCAGTTAGGCAGCGGGGAAAGTGAGGCCAGTCTGGTCGAGCTAATGCAGCTGAGGGACATGCTGCCCTGCCAATCTCATGCTCTACTCCTGTTTCCCAAGGACGTGGTTGGAGGAGATGGAGAATTACCCCAAGCTTCCTTTCAGGCGGCAGACCCTTCCCTCTCCTCCCACAGCCACTCCTATTCGTGGTGCTGTGAACGAGAGGGAGGGAATGCAGTCTAACCCGGGCGGGCGTTGTCCTGAGGACAGAACTGCCAAACTCCAGAGTGGAAGTCAGAGCTCGGTGAGGGGGTGCGTAGCACCTTCCTGGCTCCCTCAAGCTTGAGGATTGTGTGGGGATGATAAAATCAGTTGCTGTGGTTGTTAAGGTCCAAGCCCAGTGGCTGCAGCAGAAATCTGAAGTTACTGTGACTTGAATAAGTTGATTTCTTCTCCCGTGAAATGCTTAGAGGTAGGCAGTTCTCCTTCCCAGGCTGCAGAAGACGGGCTGCCCCAACCCTCCACCATTGTCCCACATGGTCTCCCCATGGTCCGGCTTAGGGTCATTTCTCTGTCCATAGCATTTTCTTTGTTTCAGGCCTTGGGGCCGTTCAAAGATATGGCTCTGGCCTTCCCTGAAGAAGAATGGAGGCACGTGACCCCGGCCCAGATAGACTGCTTCGGAGAGTATGTGGAACCAGAGGACTGTGGGGTGTCATCTCCAGGTAAGACTGTTGCTCCTTGATGAGTGAGCTCTGAAGAAGTACAGGTCAGGGTTCTGGCCCTAGCGTAGAGACGTTACAGCGTGGACCTGACAAAGAAAAGGGACTTCGTGGGCAGAGGGGTAAATGGGCCCATAAGATGACTCGTGGACCAAGGGATGTGAAGAGATGACTAGATGCATCTCTTCATCAAGGGAGGAGCCAGGCAGCAGCAAGAAAGCATGAAGCAGTTCTGGCTATCACCAATTGTGTTGGTCAGATAGCTACTTTGTGTCCATGATTGAACGGTACTTGAGAGCAAGAGCAAAATGTAAAAGATATTTCGTCTGATTTTAATCATTCTACAGGTGTCCATTAGAGTGCCCGCTACCTGCAGGTACTGTTAGTTGCATTCTGCCGCACAGGGAAGTGGACAGGATGAATGTACATGCAATCATCAGAACAAGATGTGGACGGGACACTCGGATATCAGAATGAGCCTCAAATTAACAATTAGACGGCGCTGACCTCTTATAGTGGTATTCTACACATCAACTCGAAGGGCAGCCTACATCCCAACGCGAATGAATCTCACCACTGTAGTTAGTGTTGAGCAGATACAATAAGGATCACATACATGAAGCACAAGACAGACAAAGCAGGACTTTGCCAAGCAAAAGAGGGTGTTACCCTCCAGGGCAGGGTGGAGTGATCAGGAGGGGCAGGGTATGGGAAAGGGACTTGGGTTTTGGGGCTCTGGTGGTGTCTAACCTTAACGTCAGCAGTTTGAAACCATGAGCTGCTCCTTGGGAGAAAGATGGGGCTTTCTCCTTCTATAAAGAGTGACAGTCTCAGAAACCCACAGAGGCAGCTCTACCCTGGCCTGTAGGGTCACTATGAGTCTGAGTTGGTGTGGATGTAGTGACTTTGGGTTTTGTTTTGTTTTTGCCCTCTGTGCTTACTAGTACCTTTCTTCCTTGTTTCCTTCCTTTCTTCCCATGCCCTGAAAACAATTGTTCTCTGAATTTAGTGAGAGTATGAGAGTGCACTGAGTGAGGACTGAACGAGTTGGGGCATTTCCATGTCATTATGTGTGGCCATTTTAGACCTCACAGACTAACGTAGGTATAAGAACTTCCCAAGGTGGACTGGGTTCATTCATTCATCCAGGAGTTAATAAGTATCTGTCCTGAACCAGACCCCGTGCTAGGCTTCTGGGACACTCAGATGGGTCAGTGTGTCAGGCAGAGGGAGCACTGTGAACAGGGGTAGACAGCTGAGACAGTGTTAGGAGAACAAGAGGTACAGCGAGTGGTTCAGCACTGCGGACAGATCTATCCTTAGCCAGGGGGATGTGGCCTGCCCCTTAGCACTCCTCACAAGGTTGCTTATCAGCAAGCACAGACTAAAGAACGTGCTCGCCAAGTCCTTAAGTTCTGCAGAGAGCACTGGGGTCAGAGAATAACCAGAGGGTGTTTCTTGGAGGGCATGAGTTATGCGTTGACAAAAGCCAAAGTCTGAATTAGTAAGAAGTTAATTATATCAAAACTTGACAGGCTACTGTGTAAAAAGATAGGGAGATGGAAGTAGAGGAAAGTCCAAGTTTAAGGTATTTATTAAGGTTGGTCCAAGGATCAAAGAGCAGGAGCTGGTCATGGGTGCTCTAGAAGCCAGGCTCTCAGATCTGAGGGCAGATTTGCTTTCACAGCTGTTACAGAGCCCGTCAATATCTCCTCTCTTCCTGTAGGCATTGGGAGCAAGGAGAAAGAGGCCAAAACCCAGCAGGAAGACTTGAAAGGGTCACTTGCTGGATTGACGTCAGAGAGGTTTGAGGACGCTGTTCTCCAGAGCCCTGAGTTTGGAAGGACCTGTGACCAGGAACCCAGTAGTTCTTTGGGACACCTGCCAGGACTTCCTGCTCCCCAGCATGGTGTCATGCCCCTGCCCGATGACCTCAAGACTCACAGTCCCTTCTGGAAGCCTTTTCAGTGTCCCGAATGTGGGAAAGGCTTCAGTCGGAGCTCCAATCTGGTCCGACACCAGCGAACCCATGAGGAGGAGAAATCCTTTGGCTGCGTGGAGTGTGGGAAGGGCTTTACTCTGAGAGAGTACCTCATGAAGCACCAGAGAACCCACTTGGGAAAGAGGCCTTATGTCTGCAGTGAGTGTTGGAAGACCTTCAGCCAGAGACACCACCTGGAGGTCCACCAGAGAAGCCACACAGGCGAGAAGCCCTACAAGTGCACTGACTGCTGGAAAAGCTTCAGTCGAAGGCAGCACCTCCAGGTGCACCGGAGGACTCACACCGGGGAGAAGCCCTATACCTGTGAGTGCGGCAAGAGCTTCAGCAGGAATGCCAACCTTGCGGTGCACCGGCGAGCCCACACTGGGGAGAAGCCGTACGGGTGCCAGGTATGTGGGAAACGCTTCAGCAAAGGGGAGCGGCTGGTCAGGCACCAGAGGATCCACACAGGAGAGAAGCCCTACCACTGCCCCGCCTGCGGGAGAAGCTTTAACCAGAGGTCCATCCTCAACCGCCACCAGAAAACCCAGCACCGCCAAGAACCCCCGGGCCCCGTGAAGGCCCCCTACTGAAGCTGCTTTCATGGTCGTCCTGCTTGGAGAAGGTGCTGGAGAAGGCTGGGCCGTCCAGAACCATCAAGTGGAGGGAAACCGGGTTGGAAGTAGATGTCCTTCCTCGTCACTCCCAAGAAAGCCTGTGGCAGGAGGGATGAGGTGCAGAAAGGCGCCCCGACCCGTCTTCAGAAGTCGGGGGGAAAGAGACAAGGTTCTGCTCATTTCAAGCTTCTGGAGAGCGAAGCTTCTCGAGTCTTGTTCCCAAGTGGTGCTCACACTGCGCACATTGTGTCTTGGGGGAACCACCTCCTGGGCTGCAGTTCAGGTTGGAGTTTTCCTCCTTCAGTGGGGTGTTCTCGTCTGCTGAGGAGGGCTGGTGGGAAAGGCAGCATTTCGCCACAGGTTAGCATCTTGCGCCTCAGTTTTCCTGAGGGCTGTATCGTGCCAGTGAGATTACTCAGACTCTGCCCCCGCCTCCACATCTCCCCCAGCTTTGTTCATTAATGGCTGTTCATTGAACACTTACTGTGTCCCTGTGTTCCCGCTGTTAATACAGTGGTGGATGAGAGAGGCGAGAGAGGTGTTCTCGTGATTCGCAGTGGAAATAAACATGAAATGGTTACTAACACACAGTATTCTAAATCCCGCTGTGGTGAGCACTGTGTGAGGGCGTATCTGCTTCTTGTGCTATGAAGTTGTGTATGTCTTGTGCTCCGCTTCCCACCCTGACTGCCTGCCCTCTGCCCGTGTGCTGGAGCTTGGCCTTACTGCTCGGAGCTCTTTGTAATCAGTCACGCGTGTCTTCGTGTTCAGGCCCCTTGGTCCCTGTGACGTTCTGCTCTCCTCTGTAAGACTCCCGCAGTCCACGGTTTCTTTACCTGGCTAGCGGTTGGAAACCAGCAGCCACTCCGAGAGAGAAAGGGCTTTCTACACTCGCTAAGAGTTTCTGTGTCGGAAACTCACAGAGGCCCTTCTACCCTGCCCCAAAAGGTGCCGGGAAGCCGCAATAAACCGAAGGGCCGGAAGTTGGGGGTTGGGTTTTTCTTATAGTAGCTCTACACACCAATTATTAGGAAATGAATATTTTGCCATTGTCCTCTGGATAAACATGAGCATTTTTGAAAAACATCTAGTTCTTTAAGAAGATTTATCTGAAAAAGATGCATTAATACCAGTATCCTATATTTGATAATACTTCACAGTGTATAAAATGCCTTTCTTGGTATTTTCAATGTATTACACATATTCAGTTCCTAAAAACATGTTCAGTGTATATGTTGAGCCCTTACTCTTAGAAGTGCGTGATATAGCAGTGAACAAAGTAGAAGTGGGGGCTGGGGGGTGGTAGGCGGAATTCCTGATCTGAGGGTAATTATGTTTTAGTGAATGTTCTTGTTCTTCAGAACCACCCAAGGTCAAAACTGTGTACGATCCCAGGAATCCTCTGGGCGCTGAGTCCGTATTCTTGCTTATGTCAGCTTCTTGCCTGAAATGCATTTGCTGTGTACCCTGGTTGCCGAATGATGTGTTGGGTGCAGCCACACCCTCCTCTGGGACTCACCAGGAGGACTTGGTTGCCGCCCATTTTGCAGAAGTGCCAATTCCAGAAGAAAACAAATGTGTGCGATCATTTTAGAAAAAAATACATTTCTCAAAAAAAAAAAAAATCAAGGGAACTGCCCAACGCCTGTGGAATGCACCTTCCTGGTCTTGCCGTGCCTTTGAACACTGGCTGCTAGCAAACTCGTTTGTCCGTCTTTGACACTACTCTGTTTGCAAGATGTTACTCGTCTCACGGTGCCTCGTGGTCTGTCCTCTGAGCTATTTTTCCATTTGTCATTGTAAATAAGAGAACGTCTTGACTTTAACCTGTAGTTGTATCACTCAATCCACTTAGAAACACCTGATTCCCCTCACCTGCTCTGGCAGCTGCCGTGTTGTTTCATCGTCAGCTCCCCGCACCAGGCTGAGCATATCTGAGACATGCACACAGGGTTCTGCCACCCCTCACTAATGAGAAGGCCCATATACCAAACTGTCCCCCTTTCTCTTCCTGCTCTCCCTACAAGCCAAGCAAGCCCCGCCACCTAGAAGTTGGGCCTGATTTTTCTTCTCTGACGTAGTCCATCGTCCAAAGCTAGGTGCTGGGGATGCGTGTGGCGGTCATGGGCTGGGAGTTGCTCATAACTAGTTTGGCTATCTTTCTGGGTTTTCATAGCAGATTCTCTGGACATCATGCTTGGTAAAGTAGAGGGGCAGCCACGAAGAAGAAGTCCCTCAAGATGGGTTGGCACGGTGGCTGCAATAATGGGCTCAAGCATAGGACCAACTGTGAGGGTGGCGCAGGACTGGGCACGGTTGGGTTCTGTGCATGGGTCGCTATGGGTCAGAACAGCCTTGGTGGCACCTTACAACAAGAACTTTGGCCCTCGGTTTAGTCAGACAGGTCAGTTTTCAGCCCGTTGGAATTCTTGAGAGAAGCCTCAGGAAGATGTCTTTCTTGGCCTCTTCTTCCCTTATCTCATTTGAGGTGAAGGCTTATGAGTAATTTCTCAAGAAACATTTGGGAAAATTTTCTGTGGAATTATAATAGGCTATTTTTGATAGTTATTAAAATGCCAACAGATACTTCATTGTTTTTAAGTATATTTTCCTTTCAGTTTTTACTAGAAAATTTCAAGCGTAAGTGAATCTTCATGTGTTCATCATGGCCAGTCTTGTTTTCCATGCTCTACCTCCCTTTTGCCATTCACTGAAATATTTTGAAGAAAATCCCAGATAGTGTTGTTCAGTTAGCAGTACCTGCCTCCAAAGGGAAGTACTCCTAGAAACGAAACCCAACAACAAAACAATCACAGTGCTGTCATCAGAACTTAAAGAGCTAATTTACTAGTGTCAAAATACTCAACTAATGTTTAGGAAAAATCTTTTTTTAAGTGAAGATCCAAATAAGAGCCATGCTTTGAAATGTGTTGCTTTGTTTTCTAAGTCTCTTCTCTAGTTCCCAGCCTTTTCTTTGAAATGTATTCATGAGGAACGTGCATCCTGTCTAGTTCCTCCCATCTGAATTCGGTTGTTTACGTTCCCACGTTTCTCTAAACGTATGAACTCAAGGCTCCCAGGTGCAACTAGATGATTTCAGGTCAGCTCTGCCATACAAGGTCAGCGATCCTCTTTTTTTCTCCGGTCCTTTTGGACTCTGCTAGGATGTCTCAGCCGTGTCACCATTGACATTTTGTCCCTGGCTGTTTTTTGCAGGGTTGGTGTTAGACAGCATTCTCAGACTCTTCCCTACTAGGTAGGCCAGTAGCAGCCCCTTAATGTGACAAACATGGTCTCAAGACATTACCAGATGCCCCCTCGTGGATAACATCAACTCTGGTGAGAACCATTGCTCTCTGGGTTCAGGATCATGGCTGAAGCAAGTTAGACAAGCTAGCCATTGAAGGAGAGAACAGGGATTTCAACCAAGGACTGGGACTTCAGGTCAAAACCTCAATCTAACTTTCTGAAAAACGGGTTTTTAGAGAGCACTTAGGTTCAATGTAGACTTTCCAAACTGGCACAGGCGCTACTGAGCTAGAATCTCAGGATAGGAGACTGGGCATCTATAATAAGCAACCTCAGGGCTTCATAAGCAGGCAACCTGGCTCTAGCTGCACCACATTAGGAAACACTGCACAAGTCCCTCTTCAGGCACCTGCCACCAAGTCTCTACGTGCCAATGGACCGAGCCCTAGAACCATCTTCCTTAGTGAATGCTTATGTGGGGCCACTGGGTGCAGCAGTTGCAACCTCCATAACGTCATTAAGACACCCTATAAACTGCCTGATGAATGAAATAAGTCACCTAATGAAAGGTTTGGATTTCTACCAGTTTGCTTTAAGGAAAGGGACTCATCTTGTGAAACTGCCTTAGGAAAAAAAGTCCACAACAGCAAGTTCCCCCTGCGGAGCTTGGGCAGCTGGCAACGGTCCCTAGTTGTTGAGCACCCAGTTGTAATTGAGCAGCATTCTGCACGCCAGAGAAATGAACTTGGGTCTCTTACAACTTAAATTTTTATCTTGCCTCTTGTTATTTTCCCAATGGCGCATATACCTGCAGAGAGCATCCAGTACAATTCCTCCCCAGTAATCAAAACTTTGTTTTGATGTGGAGAGTAAGATTTTGAGAGTAGGCAATAATTTCCCCAGGTTGGCTGTTGGGAATTTAAGCTGTCAGAAGAAAGAGGACGCAAGAGGCTGTGAGGAAGCTGAAGGGTTTACAGGCAATTTGGTTTCCTCAGAGGAGCAAATCGTTTCCAGTGGCCATCACCCCACACAGACCAGCCATAGCTACACAGCTAGGGGGCCAGAGACCAGGAAGTGGCAACCCCAACAGTTTCTCATGTTTTCCCTTCCTGTTGACACTCACTGTGGGATCCAGCCCCACATTCGATGGTCCTAAGGGACAGTTGGGTAATCGAAGGGAAGAAATCAAGCGACAAAAGTTTTGGGGTCCTCGCCTTTACCATGGCATCAGGAGCCAGATCCGAGCAGGGGAAAGAGAAAATGTATTCTTATCAACTTATACGGTCCTGGGGCACGCAGCCCCCACCCCCGCCCCCTAATTACAGGTAACCACATATGTAACACAATGGGCCGTACGCTAACCCTGGAGGGCCCGGAGTTCGTTGGAGCAGTAACACCACCAGTGCTGGGGCCAGCTAAGGGGAGTGTGTCAGTCTGGGTACATTAGAGAAGCAAATCCACAGAAACGCATGTATGAGAGAGAGTTTTATATAAAGGATAAGTGCACATCAAGAAAACATCCCAGCCCCGTGCTGCCGTTCCCACTTTGAAAGGCTCTCAATGAAACCAGCTTTTCAAGAGACCAGCTGCTCTCGCGTGAATGAAGCGAACACCTGTAGTGACTCCGTCTGAAAGATGCTCATGGGAGACTTGCTGTTCCTCCCGTGAGGTGGACGGTGCATCTGTCCCTTGATAGGGCACGGCGACATCTGTCGGGAGGCTTACTGTGAGGTCCTTGTACAACAGCCCAGCACAGAAAGGAAAGGACATGCCCGCAGGCTTCGCTTTGTATGCGAAGGACAGCACGGGTCCAGAAAGGAGGCAAAGTCGCTCTGAAGCCGATCTGCCTGGTACTTGCTCCCGGAGTAAGCAGCAGAGATGGAAGAGGAAGTGCGGAGTGTCAGTCTGAGTATTTTGCAGCGAGCTCCTGGAGGGGGATGAAGGCCGGAACTGAGTGGTGATGGATCGGAACTGGTTTCTGGACGACAAGGTCCATAAAACAGGCCTCCAGGAGGTGCCCTTGAAGGCAGGGTTGATGCAGATGCAGACCCCATGCTGGTGAGCTTCCCACTGAGCCCTGTCCACCAGCATGCCTGCAGAAGGGCTTTCAGGTTTTCCCGTTTTGCCTCTAAATCTTGCTCACTTGTCTCCAGTGCTTGGTCAGGTTCCAGATTGGCATCAATGCTGTCTGGACGGCGCTTCCCCTTGGCCACAGCTGATCGCGCAGAACTCTCCGCTTCTGGACCTTGACCTCCAGAGTGCCGTCCTCTGCCCCTGCTCTCGGTGGCTCTTCCCGGTGCTTGTGAGACGTGTGCGTCTGCTCTCCTTTCCAAATGC